TGAGACCCTTTCATCTTAAAAACTATGCATTCAAAAGGACTAACCATTGTGCGAAAGAACTACAGCACATTCAGGTTAAATTTAAATGATGGATGACTGTGAACTTGCCAACCCTTCAGCCTATGATGTTAACACTGAGGCATGTGCTGAGCACAAAACAAACTATATGACATTTCAACACCAGTACACTGCATAAATCTGTAATCAATATTTAACTTACTAAACATGTGCATGAATACAGAATCTGTTTTTGTTAGCAATTTTCTGCTTCTTCTCCATCATCCTTTGGCATTTTATAGAGTGCACTGTACCTCAGATACATTCATCAAACAGTCTCTGCTAAAAATGCATTGGAGGTTTGACCTAGTGCAGCCACAAAACCAATGCCATCAATTAGAGGAAAACAATTTCCACTGGCAAGTGGAGACAGTCTAATTGCTTAATCTGACAAGATATTAATGCCACTAGTCAGGAAAAAGTATAATGGATGCTGATAACCTTTGGACACATGGCAAGCTTAGCTAGTTATTACTTATAGTTGAGTCCACAACTCAGAGCAGACTCTCACTTTCCAATCTCAATGTCTTTCATTATCAAGTTCTATCACTTTGATAAAGTGAAGCACTAGAAACTCTATTAGCTATAACACTGAAAGATGCAGGGAATGGTTTTTACATCCCATTCCCAATGCTGTTAAACAAATATCACTATAACCAATAATCCATACAGAGTTAATATTTGCATTGATCCATCAATAAAATGCTTATCTTACGATTTCACATGAGAAAGCGTAAGAATAAATTCAATATGAGAATGCAAAACTCCAAATTATTAAACACTTCTGTATAAGGTGTTGTATCATACAGTGGTGCATATAAATGGCTTAGGACATATATTGATCTATGCTGCTGATAGAAAGTAGGGGATATCTTACTTTAAGTGTTTTTAATTAAATCAATAGAAAAGGATAGTAACTTTCTGAGAAAGATACACATGCCCATATAAAATATTATATATTTTTTAGCCATTCAGTGATTGGCCAAGACATTGCATTTTCAGAGAAGGATTTTGTGGATCAATAAAGCAAACAATGAGCAATATTCCAAAAATATTCTGAAATGAAAGCTCTAGCACCATTGACATGTTCCAAAGAGGAAGGATAGAGTCAGACAGTAGAAGGTCATCATCCAGCTCTGATTCTGACTAGACCCATAGACAATGTAATTAATTTACCTCAATATGGGCGGCCAATACAGCAATGCAACTGCAAATGGCCACAAAAGAAACTGCCTTTATACCACAAATCTATCACAAACCAACCAAATGCTGTGCTGCACTAGTACAGTTAGACTGATGTAGACAAAAGCAGCTATTGTAAAAAGCACTCTGAATGACCCAGAGGTCACATGTGACGTAAAAAAACTTGAGTCAGTCATACTTGCTTGTGGTGAAGCGTGGGTGAATATTAGCCTCCTGTAGAAGTTCCATCCTGATCAATATGGAGTAGGTTCACTTGATGTCACACAACAGATGTCCACACCTCTCAGGGATGAGTCACGGCAGAATACTGCTTCGAAAAAACTACCGAGCATCACATTCATTTTCTCATCACATTGGTGACAAATTTCTTCTGAGGTTGCACGCCCTAGTCTCACTGTACACATCTTTATCAAACATCCACATCTTATTCAGGCCTCCAATATCCCTTGACCTGTTGTCACTTGAACTTTAGAGACTAAATGAAACTGTCCCAAACTTCAGGACTTGAAGGTGAAGGTGTAGCTCAACCAGGAGAATGACACTGATTCTCTATACCATAGCTAGGCCAGCTCATTATTGACACATTACTGCCAATACTTCCTTGTCACAAGCATTCATAGTGTGACATGAAACAAGACTTGTTAATGTGAAAATGTTGGTTTAAGGATAGCAATCCATGCATCTTCTGAATGATTTAAAGTTTCCAGATCCATATTTTATATGTAATGCTCATCAGCTTCACATTGAGACAACACTCATTACAGCTGCAAAATATAGCAGACCGTCCCTAATCTTTTGGGTTTGTTTTTCTTCTACCTGTCTTGGAGTTCTTGTAAAGATAGGGGAAAATCTGTCCTAAAAACACATTCCAAGACATTTTGGCCAGGTACCTGGTTCTTTCTTTTGCTGGCAACTATATCATCCTGCAACTCACAGATGGCAGCCCACTAAAGCTCAGCAGGTGTGAGACTGGCCAGTACCTAGATAGGAGACTCCTGGGAAAGCCAAGGTTACTGTTGGAAGAGGTGTTAGTGGGACCTGTAGGGGGTGCTCACCCTGTGGTTTGTGTGGGACCTAATGTGCCAGTATAATAATGGGGACAATATACTGTAAAAAAGGTAACGTCCTTTGTATGAGACATAATAATTCGTTCCTGACTCTATGTGGTAATCAAAAATGTATCGAAAAAGAGTGATGGAGGGGAGTCCCCATTACCTGTAAAGCTCTTTTAGTGGAGTGTCCAGAAAAGCTCTATATAAGTGTAATTGTAATCCATACCTCAATCTGATTGAAAATGATGATTATGATTCTAACTCAAGATAGTGATTCACTGAAGCAAACCAAAGGCTCTGAAGGACTTTGTAGTGTAGTGAGCAAATCCACATGGAAGAATGTCTGGACAGTTCTCTTCTGAAGAGCAAGAACTTCACTGCACACTTCTAGTCAGTGTAATCCCTGCCAGAGGAACACTTACTGTACAATACTAACTACAATGGCTTTACTAAATGTGTCACCTGTGTTTTCTGGACTTTATTTATTACAGATATGACATGGCAATGATATAAGATTTCTTGTATAATATAAAGGATCCAATCTGTATATATTTCTATTATAATAGATATATCCTAATACTTTTGGTTCTGTTTCAGGGTGTGAATAGATTTGGAGAGCACTGTAGGTCTGTGAGTTGCAGGAGACACCTGCCGATGCTCGTAAATATTTGCTGAAAAGCATTTTGAAATGGTGTCTCTGTCTCAGAGCTTCATCAATTACTCCTCAGGCACAGGCCATGGATTTTTCAGGGCCTCTGTGACTCTTCACAAACATTTTGATTTAATAGAAGTATCCGCAAGCTGGAAAGGTGAAGGACCTGGGGGAGTATTCTCCAAAATAAAGGAGAATTAGAAAATGAAATGCCTTTAAAAAAGAGTCCCAGTGGTTAAACTACAGCACGGCATGCACGGCACAACACTATCCTAGCAAACCAAGTTTGCCAGGCCCTAATAACTTTCTGATTCCAAAGCTGAATAATAAAGAATTTGTACCTCTGCATTTATCTACATTACTCTGAAGGGGCAATAAATTAGTTTGCCTGGACCATTTCTGATCTGTATTAATTGGGTAGTATGCGTACAATTCTCCAATTAAAAACAAATCAGCTGTAGTGAGCTCAATTGTCCAGCAGAGGAGGACAAATATTAACGCTATTTCAAGTAACACGGTTTAACTACCATTTAATCTTATTCTGTGCAGGCTAGCTAGGGGAAACGTTGCATTGGGACAAATAAACCATAACAGGGCACAAGTCAAATGACCAAGCTGCTTTACAGCTGAGAGTTAGTGTTCCCCATGGCGGTGTCAACAACTAGCTTGAGGCAGTATTAGGCAGACGCTGCTATTCCAGAAACAAGTCTAAGGCTGTTCCATAATCTGCAATACATCACTCCAACGGACCCTTCCTGGACACTTCCCTGCAGATACAAAAATGTCCAGCAGAGGGCAAGCGTCATTATAGGTGTACCGTACGCAGTATTTTATTTTAACGCGGGACAGCCATAACCTTTCCGCGACATCGGTCAACGTTTCTCCTATTATGTCGCTCACAGACCTGACAATTGAAATGAACAGAAACTCCAAAATGAAAAAAAATAATCCTGAAGAATTTCGAAGCTATTTGCAGAGGCTATTGTGAAGAACGCGACCGGGGGAATCGTAATATAGAAATATAATTAAAAATACCATTTAATAATACATTACTATTTTAATGTCTTCATAATTATCTGAATTAGTCCAGCAACGATAGGTTTAGATTTATACATTTATTTAATTAATATTGTGCACTTAATTTTCGGCTGTGCCTTATGTTGTGATACCACCTGTATCAATTTGGAGATTAACCATTTAACCAGTCTTGGCCTGTTTACAGTGATGTGCTTTAGTATGCTTGGAAAAAATATGGTTTCTAAATAAAATGCACGGTGGAATGCAGTTCTCCAGTATTTTTTAAATCATGATTATATTTTTGATTTTTTTTAAATCCCAGGTTCTCAAACTATTCAGCGTTTTTCTTCATATTTTATGCTGTTTATGGCTTCTTAAGGAATTTAAAAGTTCACTTGAAAGACACTTGGTTATTAAATGGCTTTTAGGTTATGTCTGCATACACCTTTAGGCATAAAATGGTGTAAATTTTATGCCTAGAATGTATGTAAGATCGGAAAGATTAGCAGGAAGAGCTGTGTGCCCAGTGCGCCATTTCATTATAAAACCCGAAGCTTTTCTGCGATCAATTTCAAAAAGTGAAAAAAGTACGTTTTACAGATAGTGCATTTTTCAGATTATCTGGAAATGTATCGCGAAGGGTAAATACCGGTAGGATATGTCATTTTATTACAATAACTTTTAAAACAAGCTTTTTGTAGCCTGTTTCTAGATTTGGGCCTTCGACGATAATGGATTCTACAGCACTGAGCTATAAAAGGTCTATTGTTTTTGTTAGACTACATATTTTGTATTGATCCTTCAGTATTTGCAAAAGCTTGGAACACGGACACCAGTTCTTCACACACATTTGCGTTACAGCACCCGTAAATAGTATGGTAAAGATAAACATTGTGTCTGAAAATTTATGGAACTTTGCTGACTCTGAAAACACAACTACACTCTTTAAAAAAAAAGAATTTAAAACTGGAAGTGTCCCACTTTTATTAAGATGCGCTACAAGCTGTCGGTGGTGGAAACGTGACCCCACCCCATTTCTTGGCTGCTGGTGTAATCAAATGCTAATCTCTCGGAAAACCCTCGAAACCAGGACCAATAGCAACCAATACACCCGTGTTTATTGGAAGGAGGGGTGGCCGGTATACTCAAAATTGACTGTCCATTAAAAAGTGTCATTGAGGCACAATCCGGAGACGGACAAGTGAGACGTTTCTAAAAAGTGGGAACCATGCAAGTATCTCAGGGTACGAGGGCTGTATACGACGGACCTCCCGGGAAAACAGATGCCGCTAAGGGGCCGCTTAATTTCCCCCTGTCGTCGTCTCACTTCATTGACAGTATCCTGAGCAAAGCGAGCAGCGCTGTTGGGAAAAACAAGGGGACTCATGGAGACATGGTTGAAGGTAAGTAAAAAAAAAAGTATTTTGCGTTTACGTGCGTTTTACTTTATGATCAAGACGCCTCATCTGCAACAAGTGAGGTAATAACTTTAATCCTTTGCCCCCCCGAAACACCCCTGACGGAGAGGAAAGGTGTTCATTCTTAATCGGAAAAAATATCGCTTTAAACCACTTCCACATCTTTTACTCACAGATGTATACACAATTAAGTTCGTTTTATTTTAATATTTTGTAATACCTGCAAAGACAGGTTTACCGCGGGCAAATCACGACATGGGCAATTTCCTGACTATAATACGTTATTTCTTTTAGATTAGACAGGTGTATTAAAATAATTCCTTGTATCTCACAGGGGGTAGAAAAACACCTTGCGGGCGCGTTGTAACTTTTATTTTCTTTTGGGTGTCTCCAAGCGGGTGATCTCAATGGGCCAGAATCCATTAAAACTATGGAATGCCCGTCAGATGTGAAGATGACGTTCCTTCATCAGGACCACGGAAGGGAAGGTCGAAAACATTCTGGGCTGCACTCGGAAAGCATCATCCGAGAGATGGAGACCCTGTACTCAAATTACATCAAGTCCCATCAGATGTGCTATTCCTTGAATCCGAGGTCCCACGACGGAAAGTTACATAGCCAGCCGCCCTCCCTGCAGACCGGGGAGCTCACATCGCCTAAAGATGTTGATTTAAAAGAAATGCCTGGAAACTTGACTCAAGAAAATCTGAGGGAGGAAACCGAAAAAGATACTTCAGAGCGTCACCGGGTGATGAAGTGCATCTCTCCGGGCCGCTACAGCAGTTCATCACTGAAAAGGAAGCAGCGTCGGTACAGAACCACATTCACAAACTTTCAATTAGAAGAACTTGAAAGAGCTTTCAGAAAATCGCACTACCCCGATGTTTTTTCCAGGTAATATTTTTAACTCCAATTTGTTTTTACCAATCAATAAAACAAGTGGTTCCAAAACCTAATACAGCACAGCTTCTGTTGAAATTATTTTTAGACGATAATCTAGATGTTGAATACCGAGTTTATTAAATCCTGTAAGACGTTCGTTTGGCGGTTTTATTTCAACGCGGACCTAATAATTGTAGAGATTTAGTGTTTTAAAAGTAATACTATACATGTTATACATGATGCGTCTCTTTGATGTACCGTATGTTAAGGTCATTCTGTTTAGTCCTGACATGAAAATGAAAAAAGCAGATATTAGTGGATGTAAAAAGAAGTTAATTACATTCTTCATCGAAGGGGGGTAATGCACCAGTAAGGAATACTTAAGGCCTACATGACATCTTGAAGCAACGTTATCAATACAGTACAATGTAATATATATTCGGATAATTTGAATGCTCAGTTAAAACTCTGAATACACATGAAGTGTAAATAAATCGCCTGTTCGGCTACAGTAAGAGGTTTTCAACAGGTGCTTTTTAAGACAATATTCCTTGTAGGTGTTACACAATAGCTGGGTTGTATGATTCATTGCATTAGGAATTTCAAAGTAAAATGAACAAATGACAGTAATCAAAACTCTTGATAATCCTGTGTTTGACTTTTACACGCCTCCTCGTTTCTGTTTCCCGTTTAATAGAGAGGAACTAGCAATGCGCCTTGATCTGACTGAGGCACGAGTTCAGGTAAATGAGTTCTTTGCATTCTCAGAATTGCCTTCCGGTAATTTTTCTAGAAAGCAGCAGCTTGTGGTTTTATTCTTTGGAAGTTATTCCAATTAATTTGATACTTCTGAAGCTCCTGTTACCGGCCGTCATGATCATTTGTACAATATGTGTGTGAGCGCACCTGCAGACAATGGACACTACAGATGTAGCGAATTTTTTGCAGGGTTTGTTTTCTGCCCTGGGTATGTGGTCCTTACAGTACTGTATGTTTTTTTTTCCTATGTAAAAAATGTTATTGTATAAAATACAAAAGAATGAACAGTTTAAAGAGATTGGCCGCTGCGAAAACTATTTTATAGAAAATGGCATTAATAAAATGACACCATGATAAGAACGGTAATATCGCAAAACCAGGTCTAAAACCTATAGGTTAAAGTCTTTATTGCCATTGCCATTATTATATCCCTATCTTATTTTGAGAAGGTAAGCCTCACAAACTGGTTAGCCAGTAAAAACAAGCATAAACCACACACGTGTACCTTTACCAATTAAAACCTTATGTAGTCTTTTTTTTTAAGTTTATTATATACAGTATTTGCATTTCCACCAAATAAATATAATGATTTTAAAAATGAAAACAAGTCCATGAGTGCACGTAAGAGGGGAAATATATCGGTATCCCACTACTGGACATTCAGGAGACTTGTTTCACGTGACTTTCTGTACAGTTTGTGTGTGTTATTGCTGTTGTTTGTATGTTTGCCCAGCTCTCACCTTATTTTTCTGTAACCCACTCATGCTCAGGTGTGGTTTCAAAACCGTCGGGCTAAGTGGCGCAAAAGGGAGAAAGTTGGCGTGCTGGGCAGTGTCCCTGGGTTGACTATGGCCAGTCCCCTGGGGATGTACCTGGACGTTCCCTTGACACAGACCTCAGCTCTGGATCCCTGCTGGGGCTCCACTGGAGTCCCACCTTTTGGAATTCCGCAGACAGCTCCTGTGTTCAGTCCCACTTCCCTGGGTAACCTGGGCATCAGTACCTTAACCTGGGCCTCGCTGTTCAGACATCCCCTCCTCAACCCGCATTTCAACAGGTAAGTTTAATGGCCTTCGTTCTTGAAAAGATGTTTTTATTTTTCCAAGCAAGGACAAAATCGGACAGCAACTTAAACTGGCAAAGCGTCCCGCGAAGCCCAGAGGTGCTAAGGTGTTTTTAAAAAATAAAGGAACGGGCGAAGGTTTATTTCCGGGTGAAAAAAGAGCCACAACGTTTCGCCTTCTTCTGAGGAAGGCTCCACAGCTGAAACGCTGTCTCTTTTCTTTTCCCTCCAGCATGGAATAAACCTTTACCCGTTCCTTTGCTGTCGCAGCTACCTACTCAAACTTCTAAAAAAAAAAGAGCAGGTCTATCAGGTTGGTTTGTTTTGTCATTTTCTTTTTCTCACTCCCTCACGATAGTTTCTTCAGTGTAATCTCGACATGAACCATATCCTTCGCTAGTGTCTCGCGCCTGCCTGCGCCAGGCCGGTTTACCGGTGCCACAAATGTGAAGGAAGAACTGCTACAGTAATGGGCTGTAGGTTTTTAAGATAAGAGATAAGATTACTTTACTGACCGTATACTATTTCTTGTACAGTATTAGGAATTTGTCTTTTCACATACCCTATCTTGCTCAGAGACAGAGAGAGAAGCTCGGGGTCAGAGCACAGGGTCAGCCATGTATACAGCACCCCTGGAGCAGTTAAGGGCCTTGCTCAGGGGCCCAATGGAGTAGGATTCCTCTGCCAGCCACAGGATACAAACCGGCAACCTTCCAGCCACAGGCGCAGATCCTTAGCCACAGAGCCACTGCACCACTCTTGTGACTTTGCTCTTCACTATTGTCTATGCTGAGATCAGATTTAAGTAAAATTCTCCATTGGTAAAGTAAAAACTGCATTGTAAATATATATTTAACAGCAGCATGGTTTTAATATGGGGCGGCACAGTGGTACAGTAGTTCGCATTGCTAACTCATTGAGCTGGGACCCTGGATTGAATTCTGGACCTGGGGTGCTGTCTGTGTGGAGTTTGTATGCTCTCCCTGTGTCTGTGTGGGTTTCTCCTGGGCGCTGGTAGGTGAATTTATTCGGGGAAGATTGGCTGTGGTGTGAATGTGTCCTCGTTTGTGTCTGTCCGTGCCCTGGAACGTACTGCTCTCCTGTCCAGGGTGTACTCTGCCTTGCGCCTGCTGCTTGCCTGGCTCCCCCGCAACACTCAATTGGATGAAATGTTTACAAAATGGATGGATATTTCTAATATATACACTAAAATACATTCAGACTTATTTAAGGTACATTTTAAATTCTGTTTAGAATTTGTCATAGGAAAATGTAGGATAGGCCTAGTTCAAGTAGTTTTCCTGCATTTAAGTAAATACGTTTTATTCTTTAAATTACTTTAAATCTATCCGATACAGTCTTCGCGATCCATGAATAAAAATACAGAATGTTCTCAGCAGTCAAAACAATATTGGTAATTTTTAAGTTTGGGCACGTTTGCTGCATAACTGTGTATTAAAATTAAAGGTGATAGCTGCCTCAACAAGCTTGAGTGTGATTGTCTTCCTCACATTTTTAATTCTTATGAAAATGTGACCATAAGAACATAGAAAACATTGTCATGGAGATAAAAATAGGTAATGCAAAGAGAGAATGCAAGATCAGAAAAAAATTTAGAAGAACTGGTTATTTAATATCTACCTACCATTTGATGAACATTTAACAAGTAATGTAACTGGAATTTAATACAGTATGCAGTTTCAAGCTATAACAATTGCAGTTAAATATTTATAACCTATATTGCCTATTTTTAAGAATCACAATCAGAATCTTAAGACTTAAGAATTAGCCCGTTTTGGGGAAGGAAATACATTGAAATACTGGATATAATTCTTGCGAAAATGTGTCATTGTTTCCTTTATTTTTCTAACATTATGCATGATTGTTTAAATTGCTAGAATTAACTTGCTGTTGAAATATAACCTCTCAGATACTGAGTTTTGTATTCACTGTTAAATCTCATTTGTTTCACTTACCTAAAAAGAAGGCACAAATTGAAAGTCCAATCCTAATGAAGACTAATGAAGAAAAGCAGTTTATTTGTAACATGCTCATGTCCAGTAAGTACTGAAATCGTGTCTTTTCCTATTTTCTTAGGTTCTTCACTACCATGAGTCCTCTGGTTAATACGATGGGTTTAATAGCAAAGTCTCCAGCACAGCCGTTCGATCTCTCTGCCATTGCTTTGAATGACCCCGTCACAAGGGAGAGAAAAACCAGCAGCATTGCAACACTGAGGCTCAAAGCAAAGGAGCATTCTGCCCAGATACCCCAGCTTGATACCTAATCCTGTCATCCAAAGGGAAAATAAATAAATAAATAAATAAATAAAAGGAGTACCTACTGTCACTGTGAAATACTAACTTGAGGGGGGAAAAAGGTGCAAGTTGAAAGAAAGCAAGATGCCTAATTAAAATCTTAATCTGGAAGCAGAAAACAATTTCGGATAATATTATTAGCTGTGGACTGGGCACTGGAGCTTCCCAAGGCACTGTACTGCCGATACAGTCTGTAAAGGTTTTCTTTCTGGGCGAATTTGACAGTGCATCCTCCTAAGTTATAGCTGCTCAGGTTTAATTACTAAATCACAAAAAGAAGGAGAAAAGAATACACCCCCACAGATTATAGAGGTGCTGTCTAATATAACAAGTGATGAAAATAGTAGAATCAGCCTGGCACACTCTCTGAGTGCTGGGGGCAAGGCTTGAGGTTGATTACATATATATATAATTGTTTATAAATAAGTTTATAAATAGTTCCGTAGTAGAGAGAGTGCCAGGTTGAATCTACTATTACTAAATCCAAATCGAAACAATTTGGGCATTTTCAGCAGAATAGTGAGATCCACTAGTTTCAGATTTCCTAAAACAATGTAAAATCCCTCCCTTTCTCATAAAATTGAAAGTAAAAACCATTTGGGGATACTTACACATTGTCTTTCAGAAAACAGTTGCATTTAAATGAGAAAATATTTGTATAATGCAGATATTTTCCTTTATTTTT